TTTTGCAGTGGGAATTAGTGTCTAGAACAACTAGTGTTGTTAGTGCTCTATCACTAGCTAGCAGGCCAGGTGCAAGCCCTGGAGGCACTGGTCAAAAATGATCACTAGATCCTGTCAGATATTGCATCTTTTGACTTGTCAATTGATACTTTGTGGGGGCAAGGACAAGACATTACTACACAGATCTTGATTTGCACTCAAGCTGATGGATGTTTACTCCATTCCACAATCTAATCAGCATATATATGTATCTATTGCTTTTACACCCATTTTTCCAAAGTAAAAATAGTACTAACTCCATCACATCAGTCCAAAAATTCAATGTTGAGTCAAATACGTATTCATTGTTTTTCAGTGTTGGTTAATCAGCAATTAGGAAACGTTTCAGGTGTTGTCACTGTTAAAAGGGAATGGGACCCTGATGCATGCTAATTCAACTCTGGAAACTTCTGAACCACTAAACCAGCACTCCAATTAATACTGTAGTCTAATGTAACACCACACAAATCTTATCATCTCCTGTTTGTTTTTTTCCAAAAGAAAACAGAATGGCGATCTTATTCCTCTGTATCCAAATCTTGCACAAGATCTGCAACGCCATGTTGGTTTCCCATTGACCAGCACAAATCCATGTGACAACCCACAGCAAAGAACCCTGTCATCACTAACCCAGCACTACTACTAAACCCAAACCACCCCCAGCCCCGACGGACGGACCGGCCGATGCCCGCCACATGCGCACCGGCAGCCAAGTGGACGCCCCAGATGCGGCCCAATATATAGATTCCATTGCACATACACATAGTATATTGCCACCACTGTATGTTCCATGTGGCACAGCCGGCTAAGCCATGCAGCAGGAATCAGAAAACCCTTCAAAAAATGCAGCAGGAATCTGAAAACCCCAACCGATTATTCCTTTTCCACAATTCTTTTGCTGGGAGTATCCCAGCACACAGATTTGCAGGAATGAGATCACAATTAGAAGGGATCATATCCTTTCTGAATATCTACCTATGTTTGTTAACTAAATGATTCCCTGATGATAAAACTATGGGAGGAGATGATCCATGCTTGCTTCGCCGACCCATGCATTTTGTCAGTCAAGCATATTTGCTTCCATGTTAATTTAGCTTTGGGTTTGATGCTAATCGCGTGGCGGCATGGCTCTCGTGATGTTTAAAAAGTAGGGCTGAGGATATGAGCATACGTGTCACAATGGCAGCCCCGGAGAAGCGAGATTAGTGAGAGTTTAGATGTTGACGGCCGGTCAAAATGAGTATCTGAATGTGTCGTCGAAATCAACGACATTTAGTCACTGCCTCAGGTGATCAAAGTCCAAAAGAGTTGGATTAATCTAGTTTCCAGTGAATGTTCAGTAACAATCACCGGCCAATGTTTCATTCCAAACAAAGTGTCGTCGAAATCAACGACATTTAGTCACTGGCTCAGGTGATCAAAGTCCAAAAGAGTTGGAACTAATGTAGTTTCCAGTGAATGTTCAGTAACAATCACCGACCAATGTTTTTTTTCCAAATTGTGAACTATTTTTTCATACACAACATCATCATAGATATACTACTAGCTTCCAGTGAATGTTCAGTAACAATCACCGGCCAAATGTTTCATTCTGACTTGTGAATATTTTTGCACACACAACAGCATCATAGGTATCTGGGCTTGCCCGTTTGACTGCAACACACTGCACTGCATCACTTGAAAGACACCATAATTTTCATGGACTTGTGTTTGAATCTATATACGATTCTCAAAATGGAGGAGTTATCCGTCCCCGCTTTTTGGATGCTTCACATAGAAGTTATGTAATTTTAGAGAGGGTATATGAAGTTATGTGATTTTAGAGAGAGTAATAAGTTTTCATGTTGTCGAACGCAATTTCAGCTTTATTTTCCTTTAAACTTTATTTGAATGTTAAATATGGTTTCATAGGAGGTTTTTTCTTTGTTCCAAGTGGACACATAGAAAATCTCACCATGTTGCTCGGATTCTACAAGAAAAAAATCTATGTTCAAACTGGCCGTAATTGAGGCCGAAATTAGTTTTGAAGTAATTGTTCATATATCAGTCACTTAATCATTTCAGGGGCATTTGGCCAGGAAATCCCTATTTGACACTTTTGTTTCAACTTGTCTGCAACTCGCTCAGGGCCTGACGCATATGCCAATTTTTTCTATGCCTTGTTTCTTTGGTTCTGAAAGGTTTTCCTTGGGGCTTTTGTTGTTTTCGCTTTTCGGTCTCATTCCCATCTTTCTTACTTCTAGTTTTTCGTTTTCCTTTGGTTTTTCTTTTTCTTTCTTTTCTTTCCTTTTTCTTTTTTTGCCTTTTTTCTTTTTCTACTTTCTACCTTTTAAAATTTATAACATTTAAAAATTTGCAAACATTTCCTAAATCCGTGATCATTTTTAAAAATACACGGACTTTTTAAAAAACTCAAGAAAATTTTAAAATCTATGAACATTTTATAGAATATACAGGCATTTTTAAAATTCTTGATTATTTTAATAAAACCCAAACATCTTTAAAAACTTGTGAAAAAATCAAGTTTGCGACATTTTTCAATTATTGAAGATTTTTAATCTTCCAATAATATATTTTTATATCTATCAAAACAAATCCAGCAGCCATTTTTTTAATGGAAAACCGAATAACCAGAAACAAACAAAATAAAATCGGTCGGAGGGAGCGCTGCACGCAACGTCTAAGTGGGCCAGCCGGACCTTTTGATGCACAAAGCGTCCAATAGGAGAACCCATTTGACCAACCAATCTTGTATATTTACATTAACCAGATCAGCCCATCAAGGAGATATGGTTAGCGTAGCAACCTAGTCAGATACCCCTCAAATGGATTTATTAATCCCAACCAAAATTCCCCATTTTTTGACAGGAAGCTCAGCTTTCGTTTACTTATTCTTGATGGCCAAAAAACTGGGCGCAAATTGTTCTCGGCAACAATTAATATGATCAAGATAAATGAGCAATGATTCACGGTGAAGGTGCTAACCTTCACGATTTTAGATCACAACAGGAACAAAATACTACAACAGATTTAAGCAAATGTTCACCATCCTCGCAATCCTTTGGTTCCAATCTAGGGGGGAGATCCTCCTACTCAACCCTGCAGGCATAGGGTTAACAATGAGCATCAGCAACGCAATATTTACATCTGCAGGCATGGGGTCAAATCAATATCACCAACAGATTTTTGTTTGCCATTGAAGATTGAAGAACTGAATGCCTAAATCCAACTGAAGGTTGTGCTCAAGCTTGTTCAAACAAAGTAAAGTGGCCACAAGATGTTCTGTATTAGTGGAAGTGATTCTTTTTAGCCAAGAGTTGAGACTGGATTTAAGAACATGTCAAAGTCGCTCATTCGAGCCAGAAATGGCATCTCGACCGCCATTTCACATTTCTCCTAAGTATTGTGAGTACCACAGATTTTATGACAGAATATGATGTATAACATAATCATCAACCAGAATCAAATGAACATGTAATTAATAATAACTATGCTGTCTCAACTCATATTTGGTGATAATATGATTGCATGATTGTGTCCATAATATTGACATAATCATCTGCCCCAACAGTTCTAGATGGCCTAAAGGAAGATGGCATGTATAATACTCAAAGATAACACATTCTCTTGTGCAGACTGCTAAACTTCACACGATAGATTAACACGTCAACAAAATATTGAGATGATAATTTTCAATTTATAAGAACAGGAGAATGTCCAGGTTAACTGTTGTATTTCCAAATTCTGACTTTCTTGTACCGCCATGATTCCAGATTAAAGATTTCAATTCGGTACACAACTGCCAGGAGCAGTGACGGTGACTGATCAATTGCGGCAGTGGTGCTCAGATGAATGCAATACAAAAATGATTGAGGAAAGATGGGAAGGCACATGAGAGAGCACACTGCTGCCAGGAATTTGCTGGAGCCTCGCTGTGCGCGAAGATGGGAGCAGGAGATGGCTGACAGGAGTTGAAGGAGAAGGCCTGATGGGCGCTTTTGTGCATGGGAGATCCAGTTGTTGGTAGGGTCATGCTCACTATTCATGTCAGTCAATCTAGGATGCAATACCAGCAGCTGCTTGGGTCGGCGAGGATGCGACAACAACTGTTTCATGAGGCGACAATGCAGAGGTCACGACACTTTGAGGCGGTGTGGAGACAATGGCTCTGGTGGCTTCGAACTGAGACAACAGCTGCCGCGGTTTTGAATTGGGATGACGGTGCGGCTTGGTTAGAAAGGAGAGGACAACGACAGGTTGGGCAATGAGCATACTGTGGTTACGAGGACGATGGGCAAGTGAACAAAAGCGAGGAGGATATGCGCAAGAGATCAGGATGGCAAATAATTTGTCTCAGTTCCACCTACAAGAGTCATATCTAAATCTAGGTGCGGTTTCCTCTCTCTCACCTTTAATTATACCCCCATGTCAAAAAAGATCTTTAATTGTACCTCCACATCAGGTTTAATGCTATATGGCAAATTTAGATACGGAACGGGTTGGAGCACTGGGAGTGCCCTAAGTTGGGACTTTATGACAGACCTAATTGGAACTAGCAAGTTTTTGATAAAAACAAGGAAAACCAACAAGTTTTGATTTTCTCAAGGAAGATTTTCAGAATATACAGACAATATAACTAAATGGCACCAAACAAAAACTAAACTAGCCTTGAACCATTTGAAACCATTCATAAACAAGTAAAAGCTAATGTAAAATCTATGGTATCCAATTCTCCACATATAAGAAAGAATCTTGTGCTAAACCCTGAGTGGGACAAGACAGCATAGAATCATTGGAGGTGAAAATAAGTCATAGCTAGCATCGGCTTCTGCAGGTAATGTAAACTGTAAAAGATTCAACATTGCTGACCTGGTTGAGAAGTGAAGTTACAGAACACTAGGGAGTCATCAATAGCTTAACAGTACACTTTCCGATTTCTTGCGTATCTGCAAATATGTTCCCTAAACAACCTCTGTTTCAATATCAGGAGTATAATCAGGAAGACTCCGTAGTACCTAACAAAGTGCAGTAATTGCTGTCAAGACTGTGGAGAAAGGAATATCAGCTTATAAGAAAGCAAATTGAATAGTATATTCATATACCTCATACAAGTACCACGAGATGTAGGCATCCGTAGCAGCATACTCAAGTTGCTTTTTTGAGAGAACAAAAGACTCCCAGTTTCCCATTCTTATGTTGCCAGGCTTTGGTAACTTATAGGCATGAAGTTGCGGGTGGTAAAGAGCATTGCAACACAGCAACAAGTTAGTGCAATGAAAACAATAAATCAGTAAAAGAATATAACCCAAGCAGCTTATCTAGCAAAAAAAATTACATTTCATAGAAACTTCAGAGTTTGTTCTGCTAAACAATAACTGAAATTGTCTCAACCACGGAACTACCCCATCAAGCATTCCCACAATGCAGAGATATAGACCAAGCATGCAAATTGCAAATATCAGCAACCAGAAGAATTTCAATTTAATAATTTATTGATGATAAAAATGCTTGTATTCCCTAGGCATCTGGGTGTTCTGTCTACCAAATCATAATTGAACCTCTATCGTTCAACCAACCAAATTTCCTTGATACATAAAACACATAAATGAATAAATGCCTGAAGAGTGTTTCTTTCCAGTGCCAACAGAACTGGATAAAAAAAAGCAGTACTAAACAATACTCCCTCCGTCCCAAAATGTAAGATCATTTTTGATAATATCTTAGTGTAAAAAATGATCTTACATTTTGGGACGGAGGGAGTAGCTAATACAATAGGAATTACCTCTTTACATGTGATCATTTCGGTTAATGCAGCAAGACTCCATCTTTTATAAGGCCCAGCTAACTTGACATTTGCAACAGTTGATAAATCCATCAATGGTTGTACACGTACTTCATAATCATTGAACATTTTCCTTGCATCGTTGTCTATACATACTCCAACCTGCATAGACAAGACAACAATGTCTTACATGACCAAAAGGGGCAACCCGTTTCTAGGGGGAAGAGCATATAATCTATGGAGAAAGAAGCAAATGTCTTATGGGGAAAACCAAATTACGCACTTTAACGGATGAACTGTCCTCCAAAAGAGATTTCAAGATGGGAGGCACCCCAGAGTGAATGATATGCATGAGATAACAATGAGTTTTGTCCATGCATAACTGCATTAGCGCGACTTTACAAGGCGGTTCTCCTGCAAAATCCATGGCAATGGTTGTTCCGTCAGATTAGATCATTTGCAGGAGTCAACTTAAAAACCATTCATCCAGAAACCCACATTTTGCAGTCTGAAAATGCAACTAAACATTAGGCTATGGGCAGAACAGCAAACCTCTTCTGGGGAAGGGTTTCCACTCGAGATCGAAACCAAGGGAGACCTGGCCAGAGGCCTTCATGCTTTCGATTTTGCGCACAATCTCCCGTGTAGCTTTCTCCACTTCAATTGCTGTCCGGCAGTACACTATCTTGCCGCTGAATGCCACCTGTTGGTACCTAGCCTTCACACTCCCTGTGGCGCAAAATCCAGCGGAGACAGGATTCAGATGTGTCAATCCCACAAGAAGATTAAGGCAGATAAACATACACTACAACTAGGTGCCATTCTACACAAATCGACCAACCAACCAACCCATCCATATGAACCATAGCACTGTCGGTGACGATACTGAATCCTAACAGAGTATATAATACATGAACAATCAGACAGAGCTGCCATCTTACCAAAAACTGTAAAACTGAACCCTAACAGGGGATTTTCTTCCAAGTGGTGAAACTGTAGCACCAAGAACCCTAGTTCTTCCACGCACATTTGGGTGGAAAGATGAGTTCTTGGGTTCTTTGATTTCGGGAGGAAGGGGAAAGTGGAGCCGCACCTTGGCAAGTGGGGGGCGAGAGGACCCACGACGGCGAGGAGGCGCTCGCGGCCGCGGGGGCCGGGTTGGGTCGTGGGCGGACGGGGGCGGGGGCGGCGGGGGTTTTGGACCAGTCGGGGAGGCGGCGGCGCTTGGCGGACTCGGCGGCGTAGGCGGCCTCGATGGCCTGGAGCTCCGCCTCGGCCTCGGCGTCCCAGTAGAAATCGTCGTCGTCGTCGACGGGGCAGGGCAACGCGGGAGGCGCCCCGGACTCCATGGCGGCCGGATCCGGTGGACGACTCGCCGGCGCCGGTGGTGGGACTGGGAGTCTGGGGGGAGGGGAAAAGTTCGAGTTTTCATTCTTCCTGTATGTATATTGCCAATTTTAAAATTGTGGGGGGCTGAGAGGGAACTTTGAGCAACTTTACATGGCATAAAGGTCAGGTGAGAAACATTTGGCAGAATCCAAATCAAAGAGACCTTTCAATCAGAAATTCGGCAAATCCAAGAGAATTTGGTCTCTCGAGGGTGAGCGTCTGCGTCGACTTTGTGTTCCAAAGGAGATGTAAAATTAATACTGAGCTTTTGTCCAATGATGTTACCGCTTTGCATCCTTGCGCCACAAGTGCATTAGTAGCAATGAATAGAGATTTTGAAGCCACAAGTGCATTGCCAGCAATGAATTTGCGTCCGCGCTTTGAATCATGTCTAGTTTCTTGCTCGTTTTCGCTCGATGGCTAGTCCGCTTCGTTCATTTTTTCCTTGGCTCGCTCATGGTCTGCTATTGGCTTAGGGAAAAAATGGCAATATTTTTTCAAGAAAAGTTAGTTAGATAAAAAAACAGTCATATATTTTTTTTAAATAATGGATTTTAAAAAGTCTTCATAAAATTTCAAAAAAGTCCATGGATTTTTAAAAATATTGACAAGGTTGAAAAAGTTCATAATTTTTTAAAATAATTATTTTCAAAAGAAGTTCACAATTTAAGAAATGTCCACATTTGCCCTATTAACCAATATTTGTTCACAATTTAAGAAATGCATCTAGAAGCTCCGAAAAAATATTTGTTGCAAAAAACCGGATCTTTGAGCTACATACAACACCATACCGACCCAAGAGCTCTATTAACCAATTTCCCATGAACATTGAATCCAACATACATGAAAGTCATGTATGCTGGAATTTAGTTTATTTTGGGCAGCCCAATAACTATTTCAGAAATTTCTAATAAATCCTAGAGGCCCACTTAGCCCATTTGTGCAAGGCAAGGGATACTACTAAAGTTTAGTCCCACATTGCTAGTTTAGTGGAAGTTGGACCTCCTTATAAGGGAGGTTCTTTCCCCACTTGTACGAGCATGAGAACAAGAGGGATATCCACGCGCGCTCCTCCGCCGTCTGCCTCTCCACGCCTCGTCACGACGCGCCACGGGTTGCGGGAATGAGCCGAGCCGATATCTAAATTTTTGCCACACACTACGGGTATACGAAAGGTCACACGGAAGCTGAAAAGATTTTTGAGAAAGTGGAGTTCGAATGCAAACGGTGCAGCCCTTCGGCTGCTGGCTGTTCGCTTCGCCTTCGTCTCTTCGTTTCGCCTCCCGTCGCTGCCCTCTCACCTCCTTCTCTTGCGCCTATAAAAGGGAGGTCGCTCCTCCCAGAGAGACGCACCAGAACTTCTCCTTCCTCTCGCCATTGGTTCCATCTCTGACCTATTGCAGTCTTCCTCATCCCGGCTTGCGGCGTGCACCGCGAGTCGGGACAGTAGGCCTCTGAAACCGCACCACTTTGAGTCCTGTATGGGAGAAGGGTGATAAGGTTTTTGGGGAGCGCTCCGCGCGACTACTGACTTCTTCATCACGGACTCTGACGACTACTTCCCCGATGACGACTTCTTCCCCGACGTCTTCCCCGGCGTCGACAACCTCATCGACGACATGGCTGGAGAGGATGTCGACCCCAAGTCCAGTGCTTCCGCTGCTGCTGTCCCGTACGTATTCTTGTTCCTTCTGTTAGGAGTCCTGCTACAGTTCTCGCCTCTAGTTTCTGCCCTACATATGTTAGGTTCTATGTCGTATAAGCAGCTTCATCTAGTGTCTGTTCTACATGTGTTTAGCACAAGTTCATATATGCAGACGATGTTTACCTTCTCTCTGTCAGATTGCATGACTTGCTTTATATTTTCTATATTAGTCATGCTTTATCTAGTATTTCCATTAGCAAAATTATTTGGTAAATTGCTCATATTTCCAACAATCCAAAAACCTTATTATAGGCAATTTACACCAAGCGGTTTTGCTGCTTCCATGAGACCTCCTATGTTTGAGGGTATCCACTATAAGAGGTGGCACGTGAGAGCAGTCTTATGGTTTCAAACCATGAGTTGCTATGACGCCACTCTTGGCAAACCTGAAGGGGAGCTTGATGCTCAACAGGCACAAGCCTTTCAGAAAATGGATACACTGTTTAAGGCTGCTCTCTTGAGTGTTCTTGGTGAGAACATAGTTGATGCTTATGCGTCAATTGATAATGGAAAAGATATGTGGGATGCACTCGAGGCCAAGTTTGGGGTCTCGGATGCTGGCACTGAGCTATACATCATGGAGCAATTCTATGATTACAGGATAACTGAAGAGCGCTCCGTGGTTGAGCAAGCTCATGAGATACAGTCATTTGCTAGAGAACTTGAGCACTTCAGTTGTATGCCACGGACAAGTTTGTTGCCGGAGGTATCATCACTAAGCTTCCTCCTTCGTGGAGGAACTTTGCTACCTTACTGAAGCATGAGAGGCAGGAGTTTTCCGTTCCGGATCTCATTAGCACTCTTGATGTGGACACTACTAGGAAAAGGGCTATAGATGGAATTGACACTAATGGCGCACCAGACATGTGGTGCGCCATTAGTATATACTAATGGCGCACCACCTTCTGATGCGCCATTAGTGTTGAAACTACTAGGAAAGTGTGCAAATTGTTGAAGTCTTTGTACGGACTTAAGCAAGCACCCAAACAGTGGCATGAGAAGTTTGAAAGAACTTTAACATCTGCAGGCTTTGTTGTGAACGAAGCTGACAAATGTGTGTACTATCGCCACGGTGGGGGCGAGGGAGTTATCCTGTGCTTGTATGTTGATGACATACTGATTTTCGGAACAAATCTGAATGTTATTAAGGAGGTCAAGGATTTCCTATCTCGTTGTTTTGAGATGAAGGATTTAGGAGTGGCTGATGTCATTCTGAACATCAAGTTGTTGAGAGACGATGATGGTGGGATTACATTGCTTCAATCTCACTATGTGGAAAAGATCTTGAGTCGCTTTGGCTATAGTGACTGCAAGCCCTCTCCAACACCATATGATGCGAGTGTGTTACTTCAAAAGAATCGAAGAGTTGCTAGAGATCAATTGAAATATTCTCAAATTATTGGCTCGCTTATGTACTTAGCAAGTGCTACAAGACCTGACATCTCTTTTGTTGTTAGCAAACTGAGTCGGCTTGTCTGAAAACCAGGAGATGTGCATTGAAAAGCTCTAGAGGGAGTTATTGCGTTAGATTATATCCAAATGTCTAAAAATCTGGCAGATCCTTTTACTAAGGGTCTATCACGTAATGTGATAGATAATGCATCGAGGGAGATGGGTATGAGACCCATAATATGAGTTGTTCACAGTGGTAACCTATTCTTTGTGATCGGAGATCCCGTGAATTAGATGTGGAAGACAAGCTGTTGGTCAACTGAGAGGAGAGTATCCTTACTATTCACAATACCACTCCATGAAGATGCAATACTCTCCTAATCTGCATGGCAGGTTGATGTATATCTTAATGTGTTCTAAGTGGCTTATTTAAGCAGAGATGTTATCCTGCAGAACATCTTTTGAAGAACACACCTATACGAGTCGGATTGTCAAACATCGCAATCTATGAGAGTAGGGTTCTCTCTAGTAAACTCATGAAAGGTCACGGAGTATGACGCATAAGCTCCACCCGCGGGGAAGACCCACGGTAGCCACGTATCGGTCAAGGCTTTATGTGAAGCTAGATTCGCAGAAAACATGCAGTTCAAGGCCAAGTCCACTGTTCAAGTTGCTTACTAGTGTAGCATAGAGTTTTAGGTGGAAGTTCAACTTAACAGTCTCCACTGCAGTACCGGTATATAAAACAGTGTCTTACTAGTGTAGCATAGAGTTCTATGAGAACAAGAGGGATATCCACGCGCGCTCCTCCTCCGCCGCCCGCCACGCCACGCCTCGCCTCGCCTCGCCTCGCCTCACCACGACGCGCCGCGCCGCGGGAATGAGCCGAGCCGATATCTAAATTTTTGCCATGCACTACGGGTATACGAAAGGTCACACGGAAGCTCGAATGCGAACGGTGCAGACCTTCGGCTGCTGGCTGTTCGCTTCGCCTTCGTCTCTTTGTTTCGCCTCCCGTCGCTGCCCTCTCGCCTCCTTCTCTTGCGCCTATAAAAGGGAGGTCGCTCCTCCCAGAGAGACGCACCAGAACTTCTCCTTCCTCTCGCCGTTGGTTCCATTTCTGAGCTGCTGCAGTCTTCCTCATCCTGGCTTGCGGCGTGCACCGCGAGTCGGGACAGTAGGCCTCCGAAACCGCACGACTTTGAGTCCTGTACGGGAGAAGGGTGATAAGGTTTTTGGGGGGCGCTCCGCGCGACTACTGACTTCTTCATCACGAACTCCGACGACTACTTCCCCGATGACGACTTCTTCCCCGACGTCGACAACCTCATCGACGACATGGCTAGAGAGGATGTCGACCCCAAGTCCAGTGCTTCCGCTGCTGCTGTCCCATACGTATTCTTGTTCCTTCTGTTAGGAGTCCTGCTACAGTTCTCGCCTCTAGTTTCTGCCCTACATATGTTAGGTTCTATGTCGTATAAGCAGAATCATCTAGTGTCTGTTCTACATGTGTTTAGCACAAGTTCATATATGCAGACGATGTTTACCTTCTTTCTGTCAGATTGCATGACTTGCTTTATATTTCCTATATTAGTCATGCTTTATCTAGTATTTCCATTAGCAAAATTATTTGGTAAATTGCTCATATTTCCAACAATGTATGCATAATTCCCTTCCCATTCTGTAGCTGTAGTTAACTAAGCAACATTCCCTAGTCGTTGGTTACGAAGCAGTGCCTGGCTAGAC